TATATATATATACATACATATAAAGTTATATCTTATATAATAAAAATATATTTGTACGATTAACAATTCTTATACTTCAATATTGCCATGCACAATTATTTCAAAAAATTATTATTCTGCGAATTTTCATGAAATTAAATAATATTTTAATTAATAATTTGGATTAATAAATCACTATATTATATTTCTGTGTGCGATATATTAATAATAGTAGAGAAAAATGATAAAGACAAAAGTAGACAAGGATGAAAACAGATATGCTTTATAATATCAAAATATGAATTATAAAAAATATATACGCTTATAAAATCTGTAATAACAATATAATTCTATCTTTACTTTAAGTAGACCTAAAAAATGCATTGTATGAAAACAAAAAAAGATTTACAAACAAAATTAACAAACAACTTTTTCTCTTGTTATGTAACAATACGTTCCATTTTGATATATAGCTCTTCTTTCTTTCTATATAAATTTAAATCTAAACATTAACCAATACTGTACTACATGGTGTCTGTAAAGACAAAAACTATTTAATGTATACTTGGTACCATATCAAACCGAATAGGTTCATTAAGGTAGGCACACCATGTAAATCCTGGTGGATACCCTGAAAAATTATGTTAACTCATTAATATACATCAATATAAGTAGACACAAAAATGCAGACCTAATATGTACTCTGATATATGATTCATATATTATTCTTAATAAAAATTTATCAATACATATAAATTCATGTAAAACTGTGACAATAACAATATTAAAAATGAAAAGTTCTATTTTCTTAAAATAGAAGCAAGCGATTAAAAAAAAAGCAATTTTCTTAATATGAGAATAGACATGTTTAAAATATACAATCATTTAATAAAAAAGTATATATTTGTCTATAAAGAAAAAAAAACTTTTATATGTAACGTTACAATTACATCTTGTATTTTAAGAGGCAAAAGAAAAAGGCAAAAAAGACAAGTATATAATTACACAATAGTTATAACATACACAATAGTCTTAACAAATTATGTCAAGAGTCGTGCATGAAGAGTTGTAAATTGAAAGTTAGAAATAAATTCACCTTTGCTCCGATATGTTAAATGCAACCAGACTTATTGTTAGTAACCATTTGTTAGAATCTGAAGAAATGTATCATCTCTATATAATCAATCTATAACCAAATTATATTTTTTATGTTACGGAACAACATTAATACAAAAAGATGTGAACCTGTCCTTTTTATTCAACGTATTAAAATTATATTTGTTTTAGTTACAGTGCGTTATAAAAAAAAATTTGTTCCATATAATACTTACATAATGTTAGAGATTATTTTTTATGTGCTGATGATATGGGGTGATGATAATATACCAAGATTCATCATCTTCCGTCCAGCTGCATGCAAGTATATAATCCCTCAAGATTAGTAATGAATAAATGTTAGTTACATATTAATAAACATTGCACAAAAGTTAATAAGTTTTTAAATTACAAAAATAAAAAATTAATGTTTAATATTCAATTATTGTGTTTTACTGTTTCATATACAAACGCATTATATGTAAAGAAATAGACATATGTATATATTTTTATTCCACAACATCTTTAACAATTATAGAAGTGCTTTACAGTTTGTATATAAAAATCGCGCAATGGCTCTATACACACACAATTACACAATTTTATAAACTGATTTCTGTAATAAGTATATAATATTCTCTGTAAATATTATATAAAAATATATTACATCTAAACTACACACAGCTTATATCTATGCAAATTTTTAGGACGGATATAACAGATATATATGAAATATCTTGCATATAACTACTACATTTTTAAAACAGATGTTTAGAACGTGATGTTTATAATGTATCACCATTTCTGTAGTAATATATATATGTATATATATATATATATATATATATATATATATATATATATATATATATTATATATATATACATATATATATATAAGCTTATATTTAGCTTATAATATGAGAATTGTCCTATAATGTTCACGATTATCTGATTATCTCTTAATAATTTTATCATAACCAGCAGCCTTTACACGTATACAATTGCACTAAAAACAATTAAAGAGATATGTATATAATGCTCAGTCTAAAGAAATTTCAATATTTTGAAAAACATTAACATTCGCGATATTTTTAAATGTATTTCTTGTGAGATTTTTTTCGTTTTCAATCAAACAATATATACTTAACCAAAATACAATTCTATTCCATCTGTAATGTTTTATAATATGTATGCATGTATACTTTATTTTTAGGAAATTTGATTATAGTTTTGAAAGAATTATAATGCCTTATTTTATATAATTATAAAAAAAGTAATAATAAAGGCTAAAAAGAAAATGCCCGTCTTTTTTAACCCGGAAGAAGCAAGAAAAGATAAACGCAAAGAACAGTATATCGAACACAATAATGTCGTATCTAGTCCTTTATCATACTATTACTGCTGTCTAAAAGAAGGGGAAACTCTCCCATTCTTAGTAATAACGATATCCTTAATTAAGTTATATTAGTCACAAATAAACAATCGCAAGTTGTATCTTAAAATAAAAAATGATGATTAATAATATTGTATATACATATAAGCTGTTAATATTTCAAATCGAAAAAAAACAAATTTTACCTTTTAGAATGGTGAACAATTTTATCTTAGTTGACATAATATGGCGAGTGTTTTGCCCAAATGTTTCAACATTGCATATCCTAAGATCATTTAATAATTGAAAAGTATGGAAAAAGGATAGAAAGAAATAAAGTTTTTTCTTGTTTCTTAAAATATGTTTAGAAGCTATGGTGAGACACATGTGATATAACATATGTGATATGATACATATATGATGTATGTATAATTTAACAATTATTTGGCGTGAAATTAATAAGCATAACTACTAATTTAAGAAATCTGAAAAGAAGAATGAAATATCTATAGAAATATCTATTGATAATGTAAAATATTAAAAAAAAGCATAGATAAGCAAAGTTATATATATATATATATGAGATTACAGATGAAAGATATATTATAAAAGGAGTATCTTTTGTGTTACATTAGTCTCTTATTAAATGCACTTGCATGAAGGCATTAATTTTCAATAAATTGTCAGTTAACATATGGAATGTGTAATAAAATAAGATAAATATATAATTCTCTGTTTGCAATGGTTATTATAAATTATCAAAAAATTTTACTCCAATAAAAAAACATGTATTTTGTTAACAAAAATATTGATAGCACGATTTTTTTATTATATGTATTTTCTATATTTATAAAAATTAAAATAATAAATTTTTTTACTTGCATGAATTTTCCATTGTTAACTGCATTTTTTATTTTTAGTGCAATTATTCTATTTTATTTCTGTATAAAAAAAAAAAAAAAAAACAATTTTAAGTAAAGTACTAAAAATAAAAATGGATGATTTTTTTTATCTTGGCTATTACAATAAATACATTGATAACATAATCACTCATTATGTTATGTTTACAACATTGCAATTTCAGAAACACAATTGTTGAATGAGCCATTGCATAACACATAACAACTTGAACATACAATATTAAATCGTTTGCAGTATGAGGAACGTGTCAATGTAACTTTTCCAGAAGTTCTATCATAAAATTTTTAAGTGACCTTCTTAAGACTGATATCAATCTCCATTGGCAGTATTCAATTGACAGTGAAGTCTGGCATTAGAAAGAATTTGCGTAACGTCAACTTGCCTCTCGGCTTGTGTTTTAGATGGTCCTCAATGAATTGACAAGGGCAACGGGCGGAGACACAATGGCGCGGTGGAACAGACAAACCCATGTTTCTATCGCGTTCCTGCGAGTCTATAACCAGATCAAGTCTGCGGCGCACAAAGTGACGTGCCCATCGAGACGCATACCTCAGCAACAGCAACTCCGCCCGTTCCTGTCAACACACACGCACACACCATCATCATTCAGTGATAGTCAATCTGGCACAGAATAGTAATCTATTTTTTTCTTTTCTAAGTGATTTTTTTTACGAATAACGTGTACGATCAAATCTATTCAAATAGATGCAATACACAAATGGTACCTCTAAGATATCGCGCATTTCCTGGTGGCTAATAAATATGCAAAGAAACTCAAGCTTGCAAGAGTTTAATTTGTTATATATTTTCATTATATATGAAACTGTGCAACAAACTCTTTCTTTCTCTCAAATATTTATTGTAATTTGTAGTCTTTAAACAGAGTAGTGTTTGCAAAATTCACTGTCTTTATAATAATGATCTGACTGCCATTGTTTTATAATAACATCATAAAATATTTTCTTGTTATATAAAATGCATGAAGCTCGTTATTTCGTAATTAAAAAATGTTCACCATTTTATAGGTATAATTTGTCCTTTACATATATGTATAATCTCATAAAAATATATCTATGATCAAAGATTGCGCTAAATGTAACTATATAGAGCATCGAAGAATCATTGGTAGAAAGGGAGGCTAATAAAGCGTTTATCAGCATAAATGAAAAAGCTACATAAACATAAGCCCCAAAAATTTCGATAAATACTATCAGCCTTCTAAAGGAAACAATTTATTGGAATGCTGAAATAGAGATTATCAAAATAATCTGGAATAAAGATTATCATATTCATTTATGCTATCTATATCTATCTTTATAAATTTTATTAAAACACAGATCTGTATTCAAATTTAATGCAAAATGTCGATATATGTAAATAATGTAAATGCCGGTATATCTTTAAAATATGATACACGTGTAATTTTTATATTACATGAGTAAAATATCAAAATTGCATTCAGCATTAAATATGGAATGTAGATGAAGCTTGATGTGGAAGAGAAAAAACGATCCATGAGCTCTATTAATGATCAAGCATGATCAGAAATGAAAATTATAATTTTTTATGAGTTTATATTTCAATGCTGTAGATTATAGACATGTAAAAAGTTATATCCATATTTATTCGCGCGATCATGAAAAAGTAATAATTGACGTAAAATACACATTTACAGGATCTACAGCATAGATAATTGAAGTCAGCAAAATCATACTAATTTCACAACTTTTGAGTAAGATTATCACTTGTTATTTATCGATTATTTGAATATTCTTCAATATTTCTAAATAAAATGTAGTACATTTTAGTAGTTAAGTAAACTTAACTACTAAATTGTAGCACTTAAGTACATTTAAAATAACTCATTATTAAACACATATATAAATGACAAAATCTATAAACATAATTCCTAAAATAATATAACAAATACAGTAATAAAAAACAATGATCAGAATAAAATAATTGCATTAATATGCTCACAAGCATATTAAAAATTAACTTTAAGAAATTTCAAAGGCATAGAATTCCTTCACAACATTTTATAACATGTAATAAATGTTTGTTTTAAGCTAAAACTTGTATTGTCATCTATGTATTGTGCGATTTATAGCTACTTCTCTCTCTATATGAATAAAAATGGCCACATTCTATGAATATTAAATATAAAACTGGTTTTATAAACCAAAAATTATATCAATACTTTTCAAGTTATAAGCAAATCAATAAAAGTAAATAGCAGTTTTCTTTGGAAGCTGCTCGTAATTGTTTAGATTTCTTATATTCTGAATCATATTGCTTAGAGCAAAGTCTCTTCAGTTTGATTCTTAATCTTTATATTGCGATAATAAAGTTGGAAAAAAGATCTTTATAACGTTTCTATATATATGTATATAAAACGTGAATAAAATAAGTACAATTAAAAATATAAGTAATAATACATATGTATAAAAGATCATATACTTGATCAAAATATTAAAATGCTTATATAGCAATGCGCATCCGAGAAAATAAAATAATAATGCAAAAAAACCTCTGTAATTTTTGTATATATGCATACAAAACTGTATATATATGTTTGATAATATATAAACAGTATAGAATACTGTATTTCTCAAATGCCTCTATCTCTCAGAAAGCTACTCCATCTGGGACAAAAATCTCTGCCCTGAACGCGTGGTTTATTACGTAACCATTCCTCTATATATTGACATGGACACAGAGCGGACGCTAAGTGACGTGGCGAAGAAGGATTTCCACCCTCCTCGTCAACTGTCCAATCCAAACGGCGTCGTAAGTAATCCTTCGCCCAACGTTGCACATAACGGCAGAATACTTGTTCGTTTTTACCCTGGTGGTAATTTAATATAATACACACACAATAAACATTTAATACAAGTTATCGCAGTCAGTAACATCAAACTTTGTACACACATAGGGTGTGTTTATATATAAAAATTAAACCCCGTATAATGGAGAACTAAAGATATGTCAATATATTATGTACAAAAAAATCCTTATTTATCTATCTATTCCTCTCTCACATGATATTATCTCAAAATGAAACATGTTTACGTTTTGAACAAAAATATAAAGATAGTTTAATATTATTAAAAGGTGTTACTACAAAGAAAGAAGGTCTAAAACTGCACCTTTGGTTCACTTCACATGTCAGTTGATATTTACAAATAAAGGAATGGCGTTCCTCATTTAACTCTTAATATATATCTTTAGTTCGACTAATAAATATACATATAAAAATGTTCTAAGCAATAACAAATAACTCACAAAAAAAATTTATAAGATTATAAAATAAAAAAAAATAAAAATTTTGAATGTACAAAAATAATTGAGGAAAAAGGATTCAAGAGATCACACGCCTTACCTGTTTACGAGAGATTCTCGTGGTAGTGCTGCCTTGTATAACAATGTCACTGTCATCAATGTCCATACGCTGCTGTAATTCTCGTTGTCGGCTTAACTCGCTTCCGTCATCACCACCACCGCCAATTATTCTACCTTCACGTTCTTCTCGCTCTATTATTTCTTGTAGTTTTTTCTGTTATAAAAAAAATCATTATATTAACTTTTTGTAGATATATAAATGGTAAAAATAAAAGAATATATAGCAATAATTAGAGCAAATAACATTTATTGTATCTATATTGGCATTTCTCTTGACATGATGAATAGAAATGTGTACAAAGCATTGCTCTCTTTTCTTGTCTAATATTTAACTTATATTAGTATAAAAAATTAAGCATTTAAATTACATCAATTAATAAAAAATTTTATAATATAAATTTATATATATGTAACACTTACAACACAATCGGTAGTATCAAAGTATATGAAACACAAGTTGACTTTGTGGCAGGAGATCTTTCCTCTGTCATCTAGCCCCAGTAATATTTTGTGTTTTAATAAATGTTTGTTGACTTGAGCCATACATTTCTCGAGATTGTGATTGAGTTTTATCTTGATAAACATGCAAAAGAATATTGCAGCCGCGTTCAAGACCAGCCACATGATACCGAGCCCGAATAAAGTAAGACCAGTTACACCGGAGAACAGCAGACCAAGCAGTACAACAAAGGCGGTGAATATCCAAAGGACAAGAATCCTCTTGTAGCATATGTTATACATATTGAAGCGCACATCATTGACAAGTAACTCCATTACGTGAACATAATCTTCCACTGTGAGCTACAATATATCTATTTTGTTAGAATATTGTGTTTCTTTTATATATTTTTTAGAATATATATAGAAATAGCTGATATTCTCCTATTTTAATTACTTCAATTTACTATTTCAGAGTACATTAGATAAGTTAAATGTATATGAAGCAGTTTTTGAATTTTAATATAGAATTGAAGATTATCTGATAAAATGTTCTACAGATTATACAAGTGTAGAAAAAAGTTATTACATCTTTTTATCAAATAATTATAGAATCATTAAGAGAATATTACATTAACAACAATAGTATACATTAAAAAGTATATAAAATTAATATACAACGAATTTTTCACATACCGTTAATCCTTGTGCCATCAATTCCTCTGGTACTAATTCTGGTCTAAACTTAGCTGGAGTAATCCATGGCCATTTAGTATTTACTGGTAAAAGAGTAACGATAGTATCACCATTGGCAAAACCCTGTCTAATGTTTCCGATAGATGTACTGACAACATTGCTCGATGTATTTCTACCGTTAGACACATCTCTTAGATCAATAGTTTTTAAAGAAGCACTCTTGGCTTCCGACGTTCTAACGTCAGATGGTAATTTAAGGTCCGGAATATCGGATGTGATGGAACGACTTAAACCTGATCTATCTAAATTAATCTGGACGGATTCGGTTGCTATCACAGCACCCTTATACTCATTAGTTTTCTTATCATTAATATCAGGTGGATCAATACTTTTATTAATTTTGTCGATTTGCACTGTAACCGACTCAGGCTTTATTACAGTAGCAGCGCTACTGTTGGCTTTTTTTTCTATATCTGTAGTGTTTTTTGGACCCGTTTCATCTTCAAATTGGACCCAATTCTCCATAGCTATACTAGGATTAGCTGCCGCAGTAGCTGTCGCATTATCAGTTGTATCTTCGGAACTCATGACTGTAAAAAGACATATCTAAATTAGACACACGATTTATTCATACACATACACAAATATACAAGAACAATAATAATGGATTATTAGCCAAGTATATTCTGTTTAACAATAAACGGTGATGTAAAATAGCTTATTAAACACAACATTATTTTATATCTTTAAAAATCATCATCTTAGCATAACAGCATTTAATTTAGTAGTGACATTTATGCGACTGATTGCGCAACAATTACACGTGTGGTTGATTTGATTCGATTAGAAGGGAGTGTCCGGATATGGAATTCGAGACGGTAAACGTGTCATCAAGGTATTCTCGCGAGAAACAATCCATCATGTATGTGATAGAATATCGGTAGAGATCCCTCTCGTCATATGGAAGGAACAAAGTAGAGCGACGAGAGTCGCGATATCGTCTTCGAAGTGCAACAGACGAACTGCGGAAAATCTGGAATCGAGCATCGAGATGTACATCCGATTCGTATCTCAATTAATTAAGCGCGCCGGGCGCGCCTAACGAGATAATCGCGTGATCGCGATTGGCGAACGCGATTTTCGCGCGGCTTTGTGTGCCTACGATGCGTGTTCGTTGAGAAAAATAGAGACGCGCACACCAAGAGCGGACACCTACCTGCTACGATATGATATCTGTCTCATACCCACGAGCCGAAAAGGTGCGCGACGAATCACGAAATCGAGGTATACGACATGGTTGCACGGCGAAGGTAGGCGGGACGTCAGTGTGTTACGGCGAGGTGGGGTCGCGAGATGTGCACGACATAATACATACGTGTACACGTACGCACAGTCGCACACCTGTGCGTACACGTACACACATAATTCGTACTTGTTACGATTTTTATATTCAGCTTTATTCGCGAAATTAAATTGTACAATCGCAACCAATTCATTTTATTTGACAGGACCCATGCGCGATTTTTTTTTTAGGATAAATTTTAAAGGGGGATTCGAATTCACACCTGTTTATTGTTTTCATTTGTTTGTTTTTTGTAGCTGTGTGTATTTGTATAGTAACAGAGTTAGGTAGCTGATTCTAATTATATTTACGTCGCAGAATTACGTATCACATATATAGAAATTGTTTACAATTGTTCATATTTTGCTACTACCGGTTTACAAGCAAATACATATAGTCATTCGAAAAATTGTATAGAATAGAAAATGATGTGTGTACACCATATCTCTCTCATTTTTAATAAAAAATATATATAAAAATACAAAAAAAAATCGAGTAAATTATTTTTCCATTATAAATTTAGTTTCTTGATTTTGCTATTAACATGAAAGATTAATGTCAAAATCTAGGCCATACATGAATATAAATAAAATGGCAAGAATGCGCTTATCAGTAAAACATAATCTGTATGTATATGTCAAATGTCTGCATTGAATCTGTTCGTTTTAGTTGCACTTTCTACTTTGCTCATATCTGAAGTTCTGCGCAATATATATGTTTCAGTTTCAGCGCATAAAGTGCATTTAAAATGAATACACCTAACATTTATTGCGATTAACTCTATCGCTATAGCACCTACAAATTACATGACAATTATCATATGACATGTCGTAATTTCTTTGCATGTCAGACATATCAGACACATTTGTTGTTCGTTTATTCTCTAGCTGAAAATATGTATTTAACATTTGGTTGGATGGAGAGAGAGCAGAAAGGAACTAAAAGCAACGAAAGTACAGATCTCAGTCAATCAGCTGATTACAGCTGATGATGTACATTGATACGAATCTTTTTACTTCAAGATATGTACCGCTTAATACCTCGTATGTCAAAATACATTCTGTCAAACGTTGATTTTATTCGTTCGATAGCGAATACTCGACATAATATTCATATTCATAAAAATATCTTCACAAAATCTTGGCGACTTAATATGACGAAAAGACACTATTTTTACAATGATCATAAGTCGCAGGGAGAAAAATTCAAGATATTTCTCGCTGTATCCCTGCCAACGTTGATATTCAATTTTCTTGTCGGTATCGAGGATTCTGATGAAGAAGTTCCAGAAGTTATTATGATGATCAAGCGATCTGTATTGCTGATACAGGTTCGGTATTAAAACGTGTCATCCGTCATATATACATATATATATATATATATTTCTCACCATATCTTGATTTGAATCTCGTACAGTTTCAGCAAAATTTGCTTTCCCTTTACAGAAGGGAGAATTCACTAAAGCAGAACAAATGCTACACTTAGCGTTACGCCAGGCACAAACTATACAACATAATGATGCTATTACATATATCTACGATGTAATGGCTAATCTTGCCTTTGATACTGGAGACTATCACAAAGCAGAAAACTTATTTATATCAGTTTTGCAAAGGCTAATGTCGAACGGAGCTTCAGAAGATGATATGAGAGTCATTCACATAAGTTTAAAAATGGCTAAAGTATTTGAACATTTAAAAGATATAAAGTAAGCAATATATGCTATTGCAGAGTTTTTTTTTAAATTTTAATTCTGTTTTTCATAAAGTGTAATATGAAACATTAAAGAATTATATATTTTCAAAAAATGACAAAAAATGGGATATAGTATTTTACACATATTTTTCAGGAAAGCAGAGCAGGGCTATAAATTTTGTATAGAGAACTTAAAATCGCAAATTGAAAAAGATCCTAAAAATGAAGATGCTGTATTACTACAGGGTATGACCTTTGATTGGTATGCACGAATGTTGTTATCACAATCTCGACATACCGAAGCTTTTAACTACTTTCTTCAGGCTTATAATGTATGTAAAAATATAAATGGCGAAGAACATGAACAGACTATAGTTTTGCTTAACGATTTGGGAACTGTTAGTTACATACAAGGAGAATATGATGAAGCAGTCAGATACTTGTCTGCTGCAACAAAATTAGGTAATATTAATATATAATAATTTTGTTAATGTGTTAATTGTATATAGCTACATATATACTACATATCATATATACTTTTAGGAAGAAATTCACCTGACATGGCTGATTTGGGTTTGATTTATGTAAATTTAGGAAATGTATTTCTGAAAAAGGGTTTATATGCTGAAGCCAAAACATCTTGTCAACAAGGAAGGACGATAGCTAAGAATAGGAATGATAATGATTCCTTGCTAAAAGCCAATGAATGCCTCAAGAAAGTGAAACAATTACTTTCATCATAATTCTTAGATTATCTAGATACATAGTACAGTTTTGTTAAAACTATAGATATTTGTATATATATATATATATATATATATATATATATATATATATATATATGTGTGTGTGTGTGTGTGTGAAATCTGTATATATATTTTTAAAAAATATTTAAAACCTTATTAAAGTGTTTCAATGATTATTACATAATTAAGTTATTGAAACTTTAATTGAATATGTATATAAAAAAACTCAATTTCTCATAAAATGTGCTATTAATTATGTAGTATTCATTGAATAATCATCATTGATACAAGAAATGGATATATTTTATTTCTGGAATATTACTTATGCCGAATTTATATTATATTATATTCTGTGTTACACATAAACAACATTTTAATCCAGATTAGTTATTTCGTTTTATAATATATATACATTTTCATACATTATAATCTTTCATTCCTGATTTTATTTCTATTATCCAATAATAAAGAAAGTTGCAATATAAAATATTAAATAATGTGTATACATGCCAACTTCCATACTCTTGCCACTACACTCGTATCCTATGCGGCTGCAGAGAATCGCTCAATACATTATATTTCAAATATGAATTGTTACATATATATAATATATTATTCACACGATAAGATATATCAGCCTTACTCTTTTTTTATAATTGTAATTATGCATTAATCTTTATATAATATAAACTGCAAATTTATAATTCATTATAATTATCAATAATTTTTTGCTACCTACTAAATAAGTAGTGATCTTGATACATTACAAACTACTATATTTACAATTTTTATTCAAAAGTGAAATCTTTACGAAATCTTTTATGATGAAGAATATCAATCTATGATAGCATTAATATATATTTATGAAATTTATTATATTTGCGAAAAGTCATATCTTTCTATAGCATGTGCCAATTTGTGCTTATTTTATAGTACTTATATCTTATTATGAATTCAAGAAGCATACATAAACTATACAAACTGTACTGACAATTTATTTATCGTTCATCATATACATGTCGTTCATCTGTGTAATATCACATTTATTACTGGCAGATGTGATCTTTTTGCATTAATTGAAGAAGCACTTAATACATTAAGTTATACATTTACTTTGAAGTAATATGATGATCATTTTGGCATTTTTTCGGGGAGGGAAAATAATTATACAAATAATATGTATTATATCTAGGTTGTGTTATAAAAACAGAATAAAGATTAATTATAAAATTATGAAACTAGCTATTTTTTATTGCACAAGTAATTGATAACAAGGAGTTACTCAAGTCTTTATTCAAATCTATATGAAATTTTTCAATATTTCTCTCTAAAGAATATCTATTATTTCATCTAAATAATTATTTGACTTAAGATTATTGATTATTTTCAGACATTACTCTTGTCTTAGGCATCCCAGATATAAAAATATAAGCAAATTAAGTACTTCTTTTTAAATATATAATTTAATATTTCATAATTTTAACAAATTATTCCAAGTAATTATGTTTATGAGTTTATACTAATCATATAAAATTAGAATTAAAATTATTAAATATATATCCACATTAAAAGATAAATAGATTAAAAAATAATTTAATTTAATCAATAAATCTAAAATAAAGATATAGGAACACATGTATGTGTATATAATTATTACTCTATAAGAAAATACAAAAATTGTTAAACACATGTGGATAATATATAGCTCTTTTTACTCTCGACTGCTGCCAACCACAGGTTATATAGTATGTAGATTACAAAATAACTAAAAGATTATTGATTGGCATATCAATTTTGATAATATTTCAATATGTGGCAAAATGTGCTTTATAATATATTTAAATAGCAAAATTTTTATTTCAATGTAAAAATAATGCTATAGCTATAACTTGCACATATGTTTTTTTATATTTGTTTCATTAATCCTATCCATTTTTTTATTGAACATAAATGCAATTAGTCACAGAAGTATTACATAGTGATATTTGTATTACTGGTATCTGTTTCTGTGAAAGATTAAGATAATGCATATCTTTCCTGTAGAGACTATAATTATAATTGTATTAAATGTACATTAATCTTCTTCATTGTTGTTTATTTATGTAATGGACACTTTTTCAGATTTTAATGAATGCTCTTAAAGAATAAACTAAATCGAATGAGAATTTTATATCTAACAAACCTATTTCTTATTCATATTCTGCTATCAAAACCATCATACATACTCCGAAAAGAAGTGCAGAGATCTCCATAACTGATTGCCAAGGTTTACTGGCAACCAAAAGTTCTGGTATTACTGAAACAGTTGCAATATAAATAAAGCCTCCTGCTGTAAATGGAAGAATCCATTTTGTTGCAAGATCACCTGAAATAAATAATAAAAATTATTTTTAAGTTATGATAAATAATAAAATTAGATGAAACGTGAACTAAGAATTAATACATTTCTCTAATCTTGCAACTATAAATTTCTTACCCATTCCTTCTGTCAACAAAGAAACAAAGGTTCCTAACAAAGCTCCTACAGCAGTAATCAATTGCAACATCATAGCCTGCAAACAAGATGATCAAGATATTTAAATTACAGAATTTACGCAAAAATTGAATTTTAAGAGAATGTAGTTATAAAAATTACAAAATATATTGTATGTAACTGTAAATTATATCTTTGAGCTTGCAATTACACAGTACTTTGTACATCTCAATTTTTGATTTTTGCATAAATTTATATTTTACCTTTCTTTTGCTAACTCCACTTTGCACCAATATGGCAAAATCGCCGATTTCATGTGGAATCTCATGTAATAAAATTGTGACTGTTGTTAGATAACCAATATTATTTCCAGCCATGTAACTAGCCCCTATAGCTAAACCATCTGTAAAGTTATGCAGAAAGTCTGCAGCCAGATTCAAATAACCAGCGATCTTTATGTCATTTTCAGATGTTTTGCATGCCTTAGAAATCGCTTTACTGCTGTTTTTCTTATCTTCTTTCTTCTCCGAAGAGACATTCTCCTTTTTTTCTTGAGGAACATGATGGACATGTGAGTGAGTATGAGCACCTTTAATAATGCGAATCGCCTTCTCTACTATTAAAAATATTATTAATCCTAACAATACACATAAGCCAATGCTCATGTCATGTTTGTGATGTCCAGATTCATCTAGATGTTCAGATTTATCTAGATGTCCAGGTTCATTAGGTTCAGATTTTTCATAGGTAAAAGGAACTTTAGGCAAGTGTGTTTCCTCATGCGAATGAGGGACCATTGCATGAGGAATCAGATGAAGAAACGCATCACCCAATAGGCCACCAGCTGCAAAGCTCAGTAAAATTTTCAGCAATGATTCGTGTTGGTTAGTATTGTCCAGTGGTACAAAAAACAATATAAGAAAAGGTGCAATAGATATAATCACAGTCGATCCAACAGCTCTCAAAATAATGTCACTGCGATTTTTATGCACAACATTTGTTTGCGTAGAATGAGAGTGTTTGGAATCATAATCATGATGATGGCTGTGATGGAGTTGGTCCTTGTGATGTGAATTTAAATAGTTCTTGTTTGCTTCCTTGGAATATTTGTAACTGGGTGAGTGCTCGTCGTGATCTCCATGAGCACTACAGACAGCCGGCAGATTTAAAATAATGAGCACGAGAAACGTAGCGATTATTATCCTCGAAACCCACTTGGAAATGTGTCGATTATTCTCCGTCATTGTGCGGGTGATCTCTGCCGTTTTGTGATCGACACAGTCAAATGTGTTTTCGCACTGATGATATAACGTTGACGTGTGCGTAATTATGGAAGTACGTTAACACGATGCATACGGGAATTTTATTGACAGAATATGTCATATAATCACATATGCTGAACCTGACCTAACCAGATTGATAATGATGAACAAATGTAACGTATGTGATGTGTGTACGTCTATTCACGTCATGTACTCATTGGTACCTAACCTCAACATCGTCTCCCTTCTCCGTTCGTCTGCGCAGTGATGCCAACAGTTGCTAAAGCTCGTATCACACTACGCAAAAGGAGCTAAAATGTCTTTGTCCTGATTGGTCAAATATCAATCTCTTGTGGCAGTTATATTTTCCGAGGTAGTCATATCTACGTATAGTTTTCGTATTCCATGACCAAGAGCTCGTAAAAGAGTTTGGTCGCAAAAATCAAATTTGACTGAATCGATCAAATTGTCTTTTGCACGTGTCAGTTTTTCCGCGATTTTAACTAAAATGTCTCACCACAGTTTGAAATCTTCGAGTCATGGATATTGCGAAGCTATCTTCTCAACTTCGCCCAGAAACTCTAACAAGGAGAACACTGTTCCCGCGATAAAAACGTAAGTAATTCGGTTGACACTGTTCAATTGGATAGCCGTTGTATATGTTTTGCGTGACGGTTAAAAATTCTTAATTATCATCAAGATAAAAGTTGTAAATCATATGTTACCAAAAGTACTAAATAAATATCACCACACATTTTTTTATTTATATAATATTAACTCTAAAATTATATAAATGCATATATATACATTTTTTATTTCTAAGTGTTACTTTTACTATGTGTGTGTAAAAAAGTTTTATTTAATATTTTTATTTTTATTATTTTTTACATCTGTTTTATTATTAAATTAAACTTATCAAATTAAAACTATGATTTTTATGTTGCAGAAAGAAAGATTTGTATCCTACCTTATCTGATGAACCATCTACTTCAACGAGAAGTCAAAGTACAAACAAAAAGACACAATGTCCTATACAGAAGACGTCGAAACACGAAATAACAGAGACTTTAAGGCCTTCAAACAAGTCAACTAGTATGCAACTACCATGTGTCAAATCTACAAATCTATCGAAGCAGGAAAATGCAATTTGTAATAATATTACATCTAATGAAAAATTAAAGACTCCTGTCAGAACAAGATTTGTAAATAGCGCATCTAATGACAAGACATCAGTGGTACAGTTTTGTACACCCAAGCATTCAAAAATGACAAATACACCTAATGCCAGTACAAAATTCAATATTTTGTCTGCTACAAGAACACCTGTGAAATGCTACTTTAGCGATCATGCTTTGTTACAAAGCACTCCAGATTGTTTTAATGTGGTTCACTTGGAAACTCCATCTCATAAAATTGATGATATAGTAGTCGGAGAACAAACAATGTATGATGGTGAAAGCAGTAATCTCACTGTTGGAATACGCATCAGACCTTTGAATTCCAAGTAAGTATAATTTCATAACTATAATTAATGTCATAATACAAGATATTCTATTCAAATATTTACCATATATTTTTCTATTATCTTAATTATTTGTAATTAAGATAATAAAAAAAGTTTATATATCAAATTTTATTATTATTAAAAAAAAATATTGATAGTTATATTAAATTGTCTTAAGAAATTATTTTACATTTTAATTAACTTTATTTTTAATTATCTTTAATTATTGAATCTTTATGTTATGCTAACAAACATTTTATTTCTTACAATATCTGTTTTAGAGAACTGAATGATCCAAAAGTTAAAAAAGTTGTGCAAGGGAATGGTCAGAATGTTATTATGGAATGTGAATCTGTACATCACACTTTTATATATGATCATTGCTTCATCTCGTATAATGATCCACTTACGCCTGGTCATGCCAGCCAAGAAATTGTCTTTCGTAATATGGTATTGCCATTAGTGCAAAACGCCTTCGAGGGTTATAATGTCTGCTTATTCGCATATGGACAGACGGGATCTGGAAAAAGTTACAGTTTAATGGGCGTAGACTCTGCGCATTTAAGCGTGACGCCATTTGACGAAAAAGTCGGTATTATACCGAGATTCTGTCAAGAAATATTTACCCAAGCACATGAAAATCCACAGATTATAACTACTGTAGAAATTAGCTATTTTGAAATATATAATGAAAAGATACACGATCTCCTGGCTAGTACAAATAATGGATCAAAAAAAGCTCCTCTTAAAGTAAGAGAGCATCCTGTCTTTGGCCCCTATGTTGTAGATCTGAGCCAGCATTGTGTGCAAAGTTACAAGGATTTACAAGTAATTTTATAGTTTTGCAATGACAAAATGTGATTTTATTTTTTTTACATATGAATTTAATCTCTTATTAATATAATTTTTTAGGCTTGGCTTAAAGTTGGAAATTCACAAAGAGCCACAGCTGCAACTGGTATGAATGAGAAAAGCTCACGATCTCATAGTATTTTCAGTATTATATTAACTCAGACACATTCGGACAACAAATTGGATTGTGAATCACTTGATGCCGATCGTCGTAGTAAAATTAATTTGGTTGATTTAGCTGGTAGTGAGAGATTGAGTCAAACTTCTGCTACTGGTGATAGATTAAGAGTATGTTTTTATGATTAATAAGATTTTACTTGAACTATGCATTTTCAATAAAATTTATAATATTTAATATTAAATTATTCACAATAGGAAGGTGTATCTATCAATAAATCTTTGCTTACCTTGGGGAAGGTAATAGTGTCACTCACGGAGAACACAAATAATCGTAAACAGGGTTTTGTACCATATCGCGAATCAGTATTAACATGGCTGCTAAAAGTGAGTACTATTTTAATTGTGTGTTTTAGATTATTCACATATAAGCAAAAATGCTATAAAAAAGTTTATCATTTAGATTTAATAGATAAATCTAATAATTTAATAGATAAATTTTTTTGGGGATTGAGAATGTGACACTAAAATATATTTTTGAATGTATGCAAACTGGCGTGAATTTTTAAAATAGATATTATCTCATATAAGATAAGCCTTATATGATCTTCTAAACCGTTATGAAGTATTATTTTAATTTTTTTATTTCATGCCTTATTATTATTCATTGTCAATCTAAACAAGTTTAGACAATTTTAAAATGTGATATTTTTTTTTGGAAATGATAAAATTTATTGGGATTTTATTAGGGAGGGAGTAATTTAGGAAAATACATTTTTATAGAATTTAGATTTTTGTGCATTATTATTATTCTTATAAAATATCCGGTTTTTTATGCTTTATATTTCCAAGCAATGTTATTTAATCACGCAAGTGCGTAATATAACAATATTTGTGACAGTAAAATGATTTGTTATATCTGATAATATACAAATCAAAATCTTAATACATAATTATCACATCACAAATATGATAAAAGTATATTATCTTATTTCTAATCTTCAATTCTATTCATCGTCTTGTTAGTTATCGTTTTAATTATAATATATTTATCTCTCAGAGCTAAATACAAGTTACGTAATTTTGTTACAATGTAGTGGCAATATTATATTCAACTAATCTACTTTACTACATCTTATATGCAAAATCGTATATTCAGTCTTATGCATCAAGCAATTAGCGAGCTCTTTCATTATAAAAAACTGTATCGAATTTTCAAATTGATTTTCTGTATCAATTTTTACAGTATGCGCGAGTTTAAGTATGCTTACTATCTCATAAGCAGGATAGTTATCAACTAAATCTAAAATGTGTAATTATACAATGTTCCTTTTTCGTTCTCTTAGTTTTTTTAGCGTAAATCTAATTTGCGTGCAAGCATCAATGTAGTTTCCTGAATTTACCGAAGTCATAGTAAACAGTTTCTATAAAAAAATAATATTGTTTTTTATATTAATTTTAGGCACTCAATTTTAATATGCCGATATAGAAATTTGCATATCTACAAATATCTGTTTTCGCATCTGCATATTTATATAGAAATGTATTTATATCCATATTTACAAAGAAACATTTATTAGAAAACTAGCGTGCAACCAATGTTGAGAAAATTTAGTCGTAAAGCAATATATCAGGTACATCTTAAAATCACAATTTTTCAAAACAGAAACATCATCTAACTCAGCAGATCAGTTTTTGCAAGCATTATTTATACGCCAATTGAATAATTTATCACTACTTTTTTATATATTTAATAATCTTTATTAATAATGATCTTGATAACAATTGCAATGATAAAATATTCCTGTTTACGATGATAAACTTCGGCATAAATCTTAATTTAATTACATCTATAATCTTACCCTTGGAAAATTTATTTCATACCTGTTTTTGAAAATATAACGTTTATATGTCTAATTAATTAACCCAATAATTCATTATGCTTGTATTTTCATGCTATTCGTTTTTTTGTATCGCGTTATATAAACTTGTCTTCAAAAACAGATAAATGGTCGTCAACGTAAGATTAACATCATTAAAGCTAATTAAAATAACTTCATTATATATGCGTATTTACACCTGCATATTACGCTTAAAATTAATATTGTTGTTTCTTTTCGTTACGTAATACTTCAAGAGTTATGATTCCTGTTTTTTTGTATTGCATAATGATTTAGCAAATTTATTTTTGTTGGTATTTGCCACATTTTTCTCACTATTCATTGCATCGTTTTCCTCCTCTTCTTCATGGATTCCCTCATGACAGGAATCGCTTCGTGATTTACTTCTTATGTAAACCGCTAGATTTCTCCTTTTCATCTCTTTGCATAAGTGGCAACTTTCTTTGGATTGTTGCTGCGTGGTTCGTTGGCTTTCCACTGATTTTCCTAAATAATAATACGAAACGAATCGTAGTGTGTCAATCTCCAATTTTATTTAATAATTATATACTAGAGTAAGTCAAAAAGTAAAGGAACTTTATAAAGATTATAAAGTTCTTTTACTTTTTGACTTACCCTAGTATATATAAAAAATTTTCTTTTATGTAAATATATATAATAAAAGTTTGAGTAGAAATACAACTTCTACTTTCATAGTTTTGACTGCATCATTTTATTAATCGATTACTAAAGCGCATTGACTGGTTTATGTTTTCACACAGCAATAAATGTATAGCAATGGTTCAATTATAGTAAGCTGAAATATTACATTGCTGAGTCTGAATTACGTTATATATCTACAGATCGATTAAAGTAATATATTATAATTTACAAATTATTTTTATCTCAAATGAATAATCAAGGATTCATCAATTTTTAGTAATAAATCTATAATTTAGATCCCATTAAACACATTTATCCGATATTTATGGAAATATTGAATTTCAAAATTTCTACATAATGGTATGTATATATGTAATCAATGTATTATGTATAAACATTATGCATAAAACATGAATAATTACTCGCAGAAATAATTGATTTTAATTAGCAGACTTATGTAAAGATTTTAACGAGAGAAAGTTCGAAGTTGGAAATTCTTAAAAATTATAATTTTATATCTTTACGGAAAAATACACAACAAAAAAATACATTTTCAGATCTTGAATGTTGCAGACGGATCTTTTGCTGAAAGTTCTTCACTTTTTTCTATTATTATTATTATTTTGTCATAGTTTTACGTAATGCTTATGAATACGAATATTTTATAAAAATTGAAAACATTCTCTTTTTGTTGATGGAAATCGCATATGTTTATCTGTGCGTATTTTACAAGTCATATAAAACTTGCTGGTTAAACCGGTTTATTTCCTCTTCGGTAAGCTTACTTATCCGAGCCTGCTAACGTGAATATATATAGCGTGATATTTTTCTTGATAAACATATTGAGGCATATATGACGCAATTCATGAAATATAAAAAGTCAAAGTATTTTCTCGAGAAAAACGTCTTATATTCGCGAAACGAAACAGAGTAATCGAACTATTAACATTTTATCCGCAACGATGCATGTAATTGATATGCAAGTATTCAAATATCAAACGTTCTTTCAAAAAAAAAAAAAAGAGGGAGATACCGTGAACTTTACTTAACATATTTATATAAGTACGCTAATAAAAATAAATAGAATTTTTTGCAGTAAGTATTAGTTTATATTTTACGCAACGTTTTATATCTACATCAATTACATATATTATTGTAGACAAAATATGAAGCTCAATAATATTTCAACGATAATTGGATAAAATTTTTGATGAGATTTAAATTAAACATTTATTATTAAAAGTTGACAAATTCTTGATTGTTTATTTTGAGATACAAATAATCTGTATGTTAGCTATATAATAAAATATTTTATCTACTTACACACAATTATATAACATAATTCAAGATAAAGTGATTTAATATTTTGATTTAATTAAAACCAATAATTGACACATTTTTATGTGTTTTGTGTGTGATGCTATAATTTTCTGAGTTTTTTTTACTCATTAAATGTGAATATTTTATTTTAAAGTATTAATCGTACTTTTCAAGAATCTAATTAAATGTACAGTATTATAAATAAATGGTAAATAATCAAAATTCTTAGCATATATATTAATTATTTTTTAATTTTCTCTTTATTGGCGATACACGTAATCTATTAAATATAATTGGTTTTGTTCTGCGCCAATAAAACATACCGGTGTAATAACATCGAATGACCGTCACGGTATTCGACGTGTTAATTAAAAAAATGCCAACGTAAGATCTCGGACTCGCTCACCTGTAGCGCCAGATAATTATATCCTTGCTTTGAGTCATGGAAATCCATCGTTCTACCTCACGGCTATTAAGATACTTGAATGTATTACGTGTAATAGTCTTAGTTGTCGCAAACATATTGACGGATTATATTTATATTTAAACGGATAATTAATCCGATGAAAATGATGCAGTCGTCTGAAGGATTGGAGAAGATGCATTTCAAAAATGTCTTAAAAACTTTGAAATCTGATTAGCATTCTTGTCAAATGTTTAATTGACATTTGGTAAGTTTCTTATATAACTAATGCGAACGAAAGATACTGTGTTTTGAATTTTAAAACGAATCCGCGGATTGATAACGAGAAGAGATGCTTTGAGGTCCGAAACGTGATTCGGGTCATCTCGTCTGAAGAAACCAGCTAAAAATACATGCGCGTATATATATCATAGAAACGTAACGTGCGTACGGATGATACCTAGAACAATTGAAATCGCGAATAAATATGCAAATAATGCAAATTATTTGGTCATATATGTATTATCTCAATACTTTGTATATCTTTTCTCGAAAATAATTGATTCTCTTTTTTCACATTTTCACAAAAGAAAATTTAAATTTAAATTTTATTAAAGAATCCATCACCCGTTTCTCGAATTTGATGCGGCTCTTACGTATATCTAATCTCGGTATAATTCAGTAATATCGATAACATCCTCAATAATAATGTGCTTATTGTTTTCGTAATATAATCATTGATTGACCAATGCAATTTTTCTGAGATAGAAACGCACATTTAAGATTGTACCATCGATAATATCTCATTTTATCTGATATATCATGACTTATCTTAAATACGCTAACAAGGGATCCTCTTTTTATTTGTCCGTATTAAGATCGCGCAGATATGAGATAAACGCGCGGTAAATTCGCATCAAAGTATTATTGCCAATATAATATTTGATCAACAATGTAAAATTAAAAAAAATCGATGTATGACCATGAAAATCGAGATTCGCATTTCGTAAATCAATGTTCCATGCTAAAACACTGATTTTCATAATTATGCAACGCTTATCTGGTTGCGATGACGTGAACAAAGACTGATTTGCATGAGAAAATACAGTAACACGTGTGCTTTTGCGTATCTTCCTTACCATTAGTAAATCGAGCAATATTTAATAATTAATATCGTGTAAATCATCCTGTCTCGATGAAATTATCCAAAGAATTATGGCTATAAACACCGCATGGTTATAAATGCGATTAATGTTGATAAAATGCGGTATGTAAAAACGCGAATTCATGATAATGTAGTGGTTATCTTTTTTTTAACGATATTTCTCTTTTGGTGCACATGATATGTACATCTAAACTGTAGCGATATAATGTAATATAAAATGATAATGCGAAGAATTATTATTTCTATTATCATATATCATTTTATATTGATTATTTTCGATTACTTTGGAGTGTATTTCATGTTCTTATAATGAGAATTTAATGCTAATTTATTAACAGAATGTTGACGCAGTTAATATTTTGCATACTTTGATATGTATGATTGATATATATATTCATCAGCATTTTTAATCTGATGGATTTAACGACATTGTATGTATATGGCGATATTGTACATTTAAATCGCAGCAAAAATACGACGTCAGTTCACAAAAATCTTTTACAATTTATTATTATATAATTATTAATATATATCTATATTGTTTTATATCATAATATTTATTTCTTATATTTTTATATAAAACTAATGTACTATAATTCTTTTTTATTTAAAATTTATTTTTTTATGTATAATTTTTAATTTATCTACTACAACTCAATTTACTCTGTTAACTTTGAAAAACTTTTTGTTCGTGTATAAAAAGCCATTTTGTCGCTCACAGATTACGAAGTTTCTGTATACAATGATTATTCTGAAGAGTCATACTTTTACAATACTTTTTACGGCTATTGATACGTGTTTACATTCTCTTCTCATTGTCAGTCTTCATCCGATTCGAAACGTTTTTATATAGATATTAAATAGCTGTGGCGGTGAATTTCGAATAATCGAAAGATACGTCGATATTATTTATTTCATTTAAAATGATGAATATGATACGGATATAAATAATTGAAGTAACTGTTTATTTTTTATTTGTTTGACGAGTGCCTAAAAATATGCTATTCAATCCTTACCGACAAATACTAAAAATCAACGATAAGATATGCCTTTCTACAGATAAAAGCACCGATATACATATATCTTGAGATTACTTGTCAATTATTTTCATCATATTTTCTGGCAAAAATATACGTGATACTTATTTTGTTCTATATGCGCGATCTTATGTTAAAAATAAAAAAAAGAAAACATGATTAGAACGGAAATATACTTTTTTGTTTATTAATTAAATTAATATTTGTAAGATAAAATCTGAGCCTGCCTCTTATTTACGTTGGGAAATTATTTTGCTTGGCTCCTGCAAAGACCACGTTTAATAAACATCATTAATCATCTGCGCGCAATATATCTTTGTTGTATTTTGACAAAGTTAAATATCATTGCACCAATCATTATCTTATCCAATATACAGGACATCAATCTAAGAGATTTATGAATTTTTTGATTAAAGTACAATAATTTTTTTTATCGAAAATATCCAGTTTTTCCTTGATTCTTTAAATATCACGATAATAATTTGATCTTAAATCAAGATTATCTGTCAAGACATAAGACAATTCTCTCTTTCTACATCTTTTTTCTGCAAAAATTCACTGAAAAATAAGATTTTAAAATCTGTTATTATTCTGCTATTTGATTTGCGTTCATTCATTTTTAATCATTTATATTATCGTAAAAATTATTAATATTCTTGTTTAAATAAAGAAAAGGAGATCGACTTCGGATTTTGGAAAAAGAATTCGTTCGTTAAACGAAAAAAAGACATCCTGTATGTTCATTGAAGGAAATATCTTCGCTGCAAGTATATAAAAGTAATGCCACTTATAGCATATTACCATCAATAAAATATGACTACAGTAATTAGAGAGAAAGAATATCCGTAATTAGTTGTCAGTTACCAAGTTATGGTCAAGGATAATGAGTAGAAAACGCGCTAGTTTTCGCAATACGAATATGATTACATATTCTATTTTCATAAACATTATCAGCTCCGAATTGAATATAATGAAAAAGATTCTGTACTCACTGGTGCTACTGCACTTGAAGTAGTCCTTGTTCCATGGTAATTCGTAGTCGCGATACTGCGGATTTCTCGAATATCCATAAGTAAACACCTCCGGTATGTAAACGAGATCCATGACGATTTTTTAATTAGCTATCAACGTTCGAATGAGAATGTCAAGAACGAGAATTGTCGGCGATTCTCTCGTCAGCGACTCGTATTCTCGAGCATGATTCTTTTTCTCAAGATGCTGCGATTGCTCCAGAAGATTAGTTGTAGATAAAGCGTCACGGTCTCCGTGTTCTTGATCGCAGAAACGTAGTTCTTCCAAAAGATCAGTTTGATCCCGTCGCCGATCGCTTCTGCTTTCAACTAACGAAACGTGGATCGTGCATGTATGTCTAACTCCAACGCATGTAATGTTTATCTGTCGGTCAACCCCTCTCCACTTTACCGGTTCTACGTCCGTTCCCCTCTACCGCTTCTTGCGCGATACATATACATCTTCCGTCCTTCGGAATGCGTATACGCTTGTTTACGCTCCCGATGTGCCCCACCTTCCGCTCCGCCAATCACCTTCGCCGCTTCTCGCGGATTTGCGCGACGCGCAAAAGGTAGCAATGTGCGTGACAACGAAAGTCGCATGCGTGCGTGCTTACGTGCGTGCGTGCTTACGTGCGTGCGTGCACGCGTGCGTACATATTAGCGCTCTCGTTTTATTTTATTGTCGATACTCATAAAAAAATAATACATTAATCATATTTGTATGAATTAAAACAATATAGCTTTCGATTATGGACGCATTAATATTTATTGAATCGAGTTAATTTATTGTTAAAATTATTGCAAAAGATATTTTTTTCATTGATAACTCGCGGACAATGAACGGCGTGAAAGCCGCATGCGGTGGATCTGTTTATAACAATTTTATACGTTAGAATAAATTTATTATATTTTATATTACATTTTTTCATTTTGATATTTTATTTTATTATTAAAAAACGTTACTAGATTCAATGATTGAATCATCTTTTTTTTTGAATGATTTTCTGAAAAATATTTTTCTGTAAATGATTCATCTTTTTTATCTGGAAGATTTTTCGCTCTTACAGCTTCATACAAGTTCAATTTATTCTATATTACATACTTGAAATCTTTTTTGGAATTATTTTGTCAAAATATCAAATTTTGTGCAGATTTTGTTTAGACGAACAAAATGTTATTCAATTACCTACTCGATGTTTTTGTTTATCTTTTTAACAAATTCTTCACACTGTATGTAAAAACAGTCTATTAATATTTGTAAATATATAGATAAAACTGTTGTGATATACATGTTGTGTACAACAATAATCCAATTTTATAATTAACATATCTTGGAGATTCGCTAATCGATATAAATATAAATCTTACTGTTGTGATATTTGATCATTCACGTGCAATTCTGTAGTATTAGGTACAATTTCTGTACATACAATTAAGATATATTAGAAACAGCAGACAGTCTGAAAATTAATTGTGCTTTCAAGCTATTTCAAGGAAAACGAAGCATAAATTGTTATTTGTTTACTTAAAATAAATATGAAGAAATAGGTATATTATACATTTTTGGCTCTTGAAAAATAAACTTGATTAAAAATTTTAACTTTATTTAAATTTATCTTAAATACTACGCCCAAACAAAAAATATATTCTTTTTTGATATTTCTCTTTATTTATTTATCGATGTATAAAAAAATCGGTTTGTCATTGATGGATGACAATTTTAATCGACGATATCCAGTGATACAATCTATAAATCATTAGATTTGCAACCGATTGCTTTCGATATTTCTGATGTTTCCAGACAACACAGAAAAGACAAAAGACATCTTAAAGATGTCTAAGACAATAAGCCTTTAAGTTGTCTTTTAGTCATTTTTTACAGACATGTGCTGTCTGGGTGTTATAAAACACGATAAACGCTGGTTTTTTTCTTTTTTTTGTTGGTGGATAGAAGATATAATTAGATATAATTTAAATATTAATAATATACATATATCGTGGTGCAAAGCGTCACGTGTTGCATGCATGAATATTTTTGCATGTGACAAATTCACATGTATACCTAATTCACATATTTTTTACTTACTTACTTGTACTATTTTTACCTAGTTTGTGTTTCGATAATACAGCATTGCAGCGTGGCAATTTCAGAAAAACGTAATTAAAAATAAAATCCTTATTTATAAGCATAATAGAAAAGAGATGTAAAAATACATTCTTCAAAAAATATTTTAAATTTAAATGAGAAAAGCGAAGAGGAAATGTTGCAAACATTACTTATATGTTTTTCTCGTCTTGGTGATTTGATCACATATAATTCACATATAAAAATATGTATTGTGGGGAGAAGTTGTTAAGAGATTATGTAAAAATATACATAAATATTTCTATAGGAGAGTTTAGGAGGTAATTCACGGACAGCGATGTTGGGAACGGTATCGCCGGCCAATATTCACGTGGAAGAAACTCTAGCGACTCTTCGATATGCATGCCAGGCCAGAGCTATAGTCAACCGAATCCGTATCAACGAAGATCCACATGATCGTGTAATTCGGTAAAATATTTCTTCCTTAAATACAATTAAACAAAAACTCAATATTTATCATCAGGATTACATTCTGCAAAAATGTCAGAAACGTAAAAATCGCACGAATATGAAGAAAAAAAAAAAAATACCCAAAAAATTAGAATTTTATTATTGCTACATTTGAGAGAACCAAAGTATAAAGTAAAATATATATATTTTAATAGCTTAATTTAGAAATTTATTCGAATAGCGAATTACAAGCTGAAGTTCAACGTTTACGCGGGATGCGAGAGGGATATGAGAAGCAAATTGGAGTTATACCTCGTCGATTACTCAATTGCATCGAGCCAATGCATCAGTCCGATGGGAAAGTTAAGCAAAAGCAAAAGGAGATTGATAAATTGAAGGATCAGTTAAAGAAAACAGAAGAGCAATTGGCCGCGACTCAAATGTGAGTGAAATAATTGGATCTCTTATATATAAAAGCATAATATTATGGAGTCAAATCCATATTTGTCCTCCTATAGTAATTTATATGTATATGTATATGTAATTATCTTCAATTGATCATTAAAGAAAAATTAACCAGAATAATTTTGTAATTATAAGATATAACTTTTAAATAAGGAACTTATAATAGATTCATGTTTTATGATGTTAAACTATTATTATTTTGTTGAAAGCTCGGAAATTATAATCATTTTATCATTTACAGTAAAATTTGTCAAAGTTTCAGGATTTATGTGTGTCTGTAAATGAAGCTATTTATCGTGGAACCATACGTGGTGTCATTAAGTCTGTACAGAAATTTCACAAATTTGTTTAGTGATTTTTTACGATTTACTTTGAATCGGTAAGACCTAATCGTTAAGACATGTATAATTACAGGAGCTGGCGCGAAAAGTTCCAGAAAGCCGAGGAGAAAAAAAGTTCGGAGCTTAAATATTTGCGTCGTTGTGGAATCGCCATCGAGATTGATTTTCACGAAAAAGATAAACAGCCTTGTCTCGTAAATCTCGCAGCCGATCCTATGTTATCCGGTACGCTTTTGTATCTCATACCTCCAGGTTTGGTTCGTGTTGGGAAAAGTAGCAGACCTGAATCTACCCTCACAAAACTGGATATCATGTTGGATGGACCTCTTGTTAGGGAATTGCACTGGTTAGTCAAAGACTGTGTGTGCTTGTTTCTTTTTTCATCCTTGGGCTCAAATAGAAAAGAGAAAGAGGGAATGAATTGGCGAAATAGAGGAGATATTTTTCTAGTGTGTATGCTGGCTTTTCTTTTTCATTATATGTGTTTTTTCGAATATATTGTGTGAATATATTTCCTTCATCATACCAACAGTTTCAAAAAGTTCTCGGAAACACTTTCTTTCTAAAAAATATAAAATACTATGAATTATTTAAGCTATATCTCCTTCAAAATAATTCATTTTTACAATTAATCACATATTTCCGCTATCAACTTTTGCTAACGCGTGTTGATTGTGTTCCTAAGAGCCACTTGAAAAGTTTTTCAGCTATATTTCTTCATACAGTTTCAGTAATTATGCCAACCAATTCCAAGAACTTTTTGAAGCTAACTATTTCTATGTATACATTGTACATTGTTTGTTAGTTCTTTCGACTGTTTTTAATCTTAATGCATGTATAATGCTACTATTATGCAACGAATGAGGATGTGTATAGTAACAATTATTAATTTATACAAATTATTTTATCGATTAGATGAATTCTGACAGATGTGAAACAAATTTTGTATTTCTTGTAATTCTATATAAGCGTTGTCGATTTTTGTTATATAATATTCGCACATTCTATTTATAATTATATTGTGCCATGTTTTACTATCGCCAAGCATGTCACATCATGCAGGATATATTAGGGATTCACAAAGTTACTGAATAAATTGGAATCCGAATAAGTCGGAGACTTATGCTAAAATATTTGAATTGTACTTGTTTAATTTGCCAACAAATATGCAACAAATTACAGCTCGTTTTAAAATGGACTTACGCACTTGGTGAAAATTGAATATTCATCGAAACAGATATAATGCTTATCTTAGCTGTTTACTGAATATTTCAATTCCTGCACATATGCATGATTAACATTTTTAATTTCTTTTTTTAGCTCCATCGAAAATAAAGGGGGAAAATTAATCTTGACACCCGAAATGGATGGAGACACATATGTCAATGGGCAGGTAATGACAATGAATAATATATCGTTAATAGTTGTAAAAGAGATAAAAAATAAAAAATTTGATAAAAATATTTCTATTACCTTTTAGATAATAACTGGAAAAATTATGCTTAAACATGGTGATCGTTTAGTCATCGGTGGTAATCACTATTTCAAAGTCCTAAATCCGTATGATGAGTCCTGCAATGCCAAACTTTCTACACAAGCGATAGATTTTGAATTTGCATATCAAGAAATTCTCCGAGTACAGGAAGAAAGGTATATATTGCTCAGAATAAATATAGAAAAAATGAACAAATTTCTCGATATTAAATATTAATCGAAAGAAAAGGATTAATTAGAACGCAATTTATGTAAATATTTATGTTATTAATGATTGTTTCAATGAAGATTGTGAGAATGCCATTTTATTTGTTACTACTGATTTTACAGAGATAACGATAGCAAATTCATTCATTAAAGATTCAATAAAACATTTGGCGGTTTTACGCTTTTGCTATCTGTACTATGATTAATGATATAATTTCGCATTGTTATCAAAACATATCGTTAGTGACATAAATACTTATCAACAATTGCGTTCTGATTCTTCTCCCATCGACAAATATCATCGTGACAATTACTATTTTTATACGCAGTAATTTTTCTTTGATACAGATTAAGAGCAGAATTGGAGGAATCGAAACAGAAAGCGATAAAGGAACTGGAAAATGCCAAACGCGAAGTGGAATTGCAACTCGGGTCGCAAAAATCAGCATATGAGCATAAAATCGAAATTCTCGGTTCCACTGTGGAAGAGCAAAAGCACGCACTTGAACAAATTAATCATAGAAAGAGGGAACTGGAATTGGAAAAGGAATTACTCGTCACAGAGATGGAAACTAACAATAAGATCAAGAAAATACAACTGGAGCAAAGTCACGCGAGACTATCGCCATACAAATCAAACTTCCTGCAAGAACTGGAGAATATTCTGAACGAAAGAACTGCGGATATCGAAAATGCGCTAAAGACAAAACTTAATCAAAAAGCAATAACCGCCGGTGGCATTAGTTTGCACGAAATGCAAATACTCGTCAAGGAAGCGACTCAGCGATGTAAAGAAGCCGGATTTAATTATGTGAGTTATGTTACAACAATTATATATACACATTATTAGGGAAAGTATCCAGTAATATAAATTAAGATAATTTATCATGTAAATTGAATAAAAGATATAGAATAATTTTTTTTTATTTTAGAATTTTTATTAGATTTTATTTTACTATGATACAATTATGATAAGAGATATCGATATTACTATTATTATTATAATATATAATATTATAATCTCAGTAACAATGATAAGATACAGCAGCAGAGAATTTGATATGCTTTAGCATTATAACAATATGTGAATACTACAATACGCAACTTGCTATAAAAAAACTGTCCTCTTCCACACAAAAATTCAATATTTTATAGGAAAATATAGAAGCACGTTTAAATTTTTATATTTAAAACCATTTTCTCTTGGAAATTATGCAATAAAAAAAATTGTTCTAATTTTTTT